GAAGGTCTAAACCGGGAGTTTCAATGCAGCTTCAAAAGGCTCTACACGATCCCAGCCGAGGAATAAGGGTCTTATTTAGCAAAATGATCTGTCATTTAAAAATAAAATAAAAAAATCACTAGATAAGACCTTTATTCCTCGGCTGGGATCGTGTATCCCATTGAAGCTGCATTGAAACTGCAATTTGGCCCTTCAACCCATTGGCCACCATTGAAGTCCACTATATGGAGAAAAATCCTGGAATGCTTTTCCCAAAAACCTTAATTTCTTTTCAACTGAAGAAAGAAAGATATGAACATCTTTGATGACATGGGAGTGAGTAAATTATCTGGAAATATTTATTCTGGAACTGAACTAAACCTTTAATCATGGAAAATACACAAATTTATGACTACGTACAGGATGTTGCACAAGTTCCTTATCAATGGGAACACATTAAAACTCAAAGGTTACAATTAAAGTTTCTGAGTTGCTGTTTGACTAATATGATGATCCAACCAGCAGACTGGTCCAAAATGGTGTCTTAGAGTTTCCGCTCGTTACAGATTTTGTTGAACCACAGGCTAATTACACACTAATGTTTTGGGTTTTTGGATAGTCATATTACCAGAGCGCAGTGTCAGAGTGAGAGTGGTTGGAAGCTGGATGCCAGCTGTGAGAGACGCAATAACAGCAAAACTACATTGGAGTGCCAGGGGAACTTCAGAATAACATACTCACAAGAGCAACAACAACAAACCCTGAAATGTATCCAGATTGTCTTTTTGTTCTCATTTAAGATGATGTACTAATTAAACGTTAGTTGTTATTTCACATTTGTTCATAATATGATGCGTGTTGTTTTATCCTATTCCTAATTATAAGTGAAGTGATGGACATAAACGTCTAAACATGCAACTTGCAATAATTACTGCTTGCTCAGATGATCTTTTCACATAATCACAGAATGAACTGCTTATTTTTCCACCCTTTCAGTTTCAATCAATATGCATCTCTGAAAAGCCCAGTGAGACCGAGCACACCCAAATCGGAGTGATGTAAGATATCCTACAGCATTTGTGTATAGGCTGGGTACATGACGTTAACCTCACCGGAGTGGCCTGGGACTGCAGGAATGCCAGGCAATAGCTTAAAGCCATGAGAAACTGGCAACTGCCTGTTTTTATTGGCCAAAGAGTGCATTGTCAACCAAAGAGAATGTTCCAGAACCAAGGTATGTGGATAGGAGGTCCACAAGCTTATAATTTCTCTCCTTGCCCCATAGTGACCCCTGCCATCCATCTTGTTTTTATCACGCGTGATGCACTGGCATGCATGAACTTCTTCTTCCTTTGTACCTTGACTGTGTCTTTGTGTAGCTAAAACCATGAAAATATGCATCTGCTGTCCACTAAATAGCTTTGCTTTGCTTGTCCTATCCAATGTGATAAAAATACTTTACGTATTTGATAATAGTGCCTTTAAACATCATCTGTGTTGTTCAGTTTGGGAATTCCCATGTGTTGGTTCAGATCAGGGCAGATGAATTGGCTTCTTTTGGTACAGTTGATCTAGGCCTTGGATTTTATCCAGATATCTAACTGTAATACACCACAGTAGCGGTTTTAGGACCGGGAAAAGACCTGCTCAAGGGACGCAAGGTCTGCCAGGGAGCTAAAGACTCGTGAAGGTGTTTTCTCACTCGCCGCTGAGCTCAAATCGCAGCCAGATTCAATAATATTCCATGATACTTGGGAAGCACCAACCGTCATCCTGGCACCTGTCCACTGAAATGCCACATTGCTACCAGGGTGTATAATGGGTGAACTCACTACATGGGAAAAGGTCGTAACTGAAATTCAGGGTGTTGTTCGGGTGGCTAACCTAACTATGGGGAGAATGTGAGCTCAGCTAAACACATTTGCCAACAGGCTGTCATAGCGAATCATTCTTTCTTGCCCTTTCCATCCATCAGTTGAGGAAGGTTGCACCTCTGAAAGAGCGATACTTACGTTGGGAGGTCACTGTCACATTTGAACCGTGGGTGGCCGGTTGGAATGCAGTTCTTCTGAGTCTTTCCTTGGAGTTCTCATTCAAATACCATGTAATTTGACCCTTTTAGCCACTTAGCTTTGGTTAATTTAATTCTAAAGCAACTGCAGCGTGTGGTTGCCTGTCCACGTGGCTGAAACCACTGATCCGGTTATCGTAATTTGAAGGTTTTTCAGTTCACTCTTTCTCATTTTGTGAATTTAAATGTATGTATTTAGCAGATGCTTTTTAGGTATACTGTAAGTTTTATCAGTTCATGTATTTTCTGGGAATTGAACCCATGACCTTATTAGTGTCATATGCTTCTGTTTGCGCTACAAGAACAAACTCTGACAACACAAATATGTTATTTAAAACATATAAACAACAATTTTAGCTTCGAGTGAAGTCATGGAATCCTGTGAAATGAGCTGAATATGCTGCCAAAGTGGTGTTGAAATTAATGTGTTTCGGTGCTGATGTTTCAGTCACTAGAGTGATGTTTGAATTTGCAGTCAATTAACAGTGTCTTAGAGACAGTAGACATTAATTTTATGATCTAAAAACTCCATGCTCACATATTTCCATGGTTGTTTGAAAAGTGTTGCTACACTGTGACCGTCCATTGGCGAAGTCTCACAGGAGTGCCAATTGCACTAAAGTGTCAAGCGTTTAACAGACTGGTGGGAATGGAAATGTATAGTGCTTTGCGGTCTCTAAGTGGCTTCATTTGAACAATGTCTTCTTGCAGCCTCTGATGTCTTAACAGCAGCTTGGCTGTTACAGCCTAATGAATTCAGCTGGTTTACAGTTTCACATTACTCTTATTAAAATCTCTGAGCTGAACATTTGAGGATAACTATAGGAATGTATGGCACATTAACTTCAGATTTCATATTACACACTAGCTTTGGCTAGCTACGCAGGGTTCTCTTCAGCTGCCGAATTAAATTTTTGATTTAGCTTGAAAACTGATTATGTGCTGTATGAGGGTTTTTCTGGTATGGAAGTCTGTTTTTTGTAGAACTTTTCTTATACAAAATTGTTTAAAAAAAAAAAGTTTTGCTTTTTCAATTTTAACAGCACTAGTTTCCTGGTAAAAGTTTGTTAAACCACATGCTCTTGAAAAGCTGCTCCGTGTTTAAACATTCCCACCATTACAGCATTACTCTCACCTCTTGGGAAAAGGGAATGGGGCGTACAGCTCTGCCCTGCCCACAAGGGCGTCCCTTACAAACCAGCTTTTTTTACTCCTTTTTGAAATAACGGACATGCGTTAACCTCCCTGGAAGGCGAGTGCCTTTTATGCACAACTGTCTTCAGCCCTGTTGCTGATCATGTAAACATCCATCTATTTTCAGGAGAACATGAACCAAACGCTGTGGTCCTACAACGAATCCCCATGTACGACTGCTTTTCAAAAGGACAATTTCACCAAATGTAGTCTCAGAAAACAGGATGAAGATGCTTAACAGACCCCTCAGACAGTTTCCAGACTTTTCCAACCTCTTCAGTCTCTAAACACATATACGCCCATGTTTCAGCCAGCTCCACCCAGACGGAGAGCAGGATATAGCCCGCAATTACGATCAACGGCATGTTTCCACTCCAAACCAGAGCCCTTTGTTTGAGTTTTCCCGCTAACTTTTTAACTTCGTCTCCTCTGAGTAAACACTATAAACACATCAATCAAGGTGAGACTGTTTTAGAGTAAAATTGAATAAAAGCCACTTAAGCCCCAAATACTAGCATTTAAAAACTGTGATGCTTTTATACAACTTAAAATATAATGTATCCACTTACTGAATGATTTCCTAACAAATTATAAGGAAAAAAGATGTTCCTATAAATCCATACAACAAAGAAGCCTAAAAATTAATGATGCAGAATATAAACTAAGAACATAAAAGAGTGTGCAATCATGAAACGCTGCATGTAAGGCACAAAACTTAAAGTACAGTTTACAAAAGACTTAAAATAAACTTACTGTGAAGCAAAAGAAAGCTGAACATTAAAGCCAGACCCATCGTTTTCCAGAGCTCATTCATTTTTCGTACAGCCATTTTCATCTCTGAGCACACTGAGGTGTGTGAGAGAGTGTGTGCAGGCGCTGGGGCAAGGCTGAGAGAGTTTAGGGGTTTCCTGTGCCTGAGACAGAAATGAGCGGGTCACAGGATAAAGCATGGCTTGTGCTCCAGGGGTTTTATATGGCCTCTCTCCACTCCCCCCACGTCTCTCTCTCTCTCTTTCTCTCCATCGCCCTTATCTTCTTGCAGGGAAGGCCACCTCCTTCATGTTGTGTGCATTTGATATTATAAGAGATATGTGAGGCTGTGGATTTCATTTTATTTTTAAAAATCTTAAGAACCTTTCACTGGTAGTTTTCTGAATATACCAGGTGCGAATTATGCGATTAATTTATTTTTATTAGGTTAACTAAATATAAAAATTGTCATAATTTGCGTAATTTATGTGATTCCAAACAAAGGATTTTTATCCATTGGTCCACAGAGGGTTTTGGACGGGCATCATGGCAGATATATAAATCATTTAGGATTTCCTTTAAAAAGATTCCATATTAAAATTTTTTTTTATTTGTACATGATTATGTAGGCTGGATTCATTCAGATTTTATGTCACATTTGCACTTTATATCTCATGATTTGGCTTTTTATGTTACGATATGACCTTATTACAATCTCACAGTAACTGTTCATTTTTTAAGTGGAAATTATCTTCAATAGTTAATGTTTGTTGAAGTGTTACAGAGAAAATCTAGAGTTTTCTTTATATTGGGGGTCCCAGGGCTTGCAGAGTGTCTGTACCTGGGTCTGAAAAGTTTAAAACCCTGATTAAATTAATTTTGCATGTTTGATTTGCATTTCATAGTTCCCTTTCGATATTTTAACTATGCCAAATGTGTGATGTATTAACCAAACTGTTCTTTCTTCTCGCTTCTCTGCAGACTTTATACTGTGTTCATAGCTGATCAGCTTGTGAAAGCACATCACGTCACACACGCTGGATTTGTGTGTCCCTGGATCAATGAGTAATACAGTGAGTCATCTTTAACCCTCAATCACCCAAAAATACCAACACACGCACACAAGGGAAGTGAAGAACGGAAGGCAAGCTGAACAAGCCAACACGCACATGCACCAGTGTATCTAAACATGTGCACACCCTCACGCAAACCCATTTCCCCTGGACAAACTTTCATTTCTCCTCAGTGTGACTGGGTGGGAATCATTCACATGTATCTGTGTGTTGGCGCCGCACAGAGAACATCTGGAAACAGTGCTGTGTGAGCAGCTTTGTGTGTTCTTGGGGACTGCTCGCAAAATTACTTGTCAAACATTTCGGCCAGATGAGGGGAGAGAGCGGAGAACATATGTCCCCCTCCCACAAGCCTGATTTTTTTAGTTTCCCTCCCTTTTTGAGGTGAGGGGAGTTTGGGTGAACCCCACGCTGTAGCCCCTTCCTGACCTCTCAGGGAAGAAACACGCACACCGCAACACTGATTTCCTTCTTTCTGTTCTGTCTTTTTGGAAGTGAAACGATAGGCCCAAGCATACAACATCCACCTGGGCTGTTCGTTTCTGGCCAACAGCAGTGGGTGGAGTGGGACCTCTTAACACCACGGTGTGAGGAGGGTCCGACGGCATGGCCAAGACTCCACATATGGAGCCACACGTAACCTGAGCTGTTCTGCCTTATGCAAAGAAGCCACTCCAGTTACAAACGGCCAGTATGTCTCTTGAATGTATCATTGATGCACTAAATGAAAAGAACAAATCTGTAAATTAATTCCTGTGGCTGTGGTTTTGTAACGCAAGACGCTCCAGGCACTTAGCGTGACCATAACTCACAGGGAAACTCATCTGTTTTCTGCTTCATAGTGGGTGACTTTTTCTTTTTTCCTAAGCGGACAGACGAATTAAAAATTAACAAGCTTGTGCTTTTAATGGCTGTTAAGTACGTAAGTAGCCGTTTAGTGTGTGCATTTATCAAAAGCAACTTAAAGTAAAAGAAAAAACACAAATATCTCAATTGTTTTTTGAAGACAGCTATGAGATTAAATGAAGGGCAAAGACACTTTTGATGGTTTTTTTCTTCTGTCATCCAAGGACAAATTAAAATATAGACACCTTATTTTATCACAACAATATCCTTACTTTCAGTACCGGTCAAAAGTTTGGAATAATGATTTTTTTAAAAACATTTTTGAAAGTGTAACCAAGGCTGCATTTATTTAATTAAAATGACTGTAAAAACAGTAATATTGTGAAATATTATTACAATTTCTATTTTAATATATTTAGCAATGTCTTCAGTGTCACATGATCCTTCAGACATCATTATAATACAGTGGGTACGGAAAGTATTCAGACCCCCTTAAAATTTTCACTCTTTGTTATATTGCAGCCATTTGCTAAAATCATTTAAGTTAATTTTTTTTCCTCATTAATGTACACACAGCACCCCATATTGACAGAAAAACACAGAATTGTTGACATTTTTGCAGATTTATTAAAAAAGAAAAACTGAAATATCACATGGTCCTAAGTATTCAGACCCTTTGCTGTGACACTCATATATTTAACTCAGGTGCTGTCCATTTCTTCTGATCATCCTTGAGATGGTTCTACACCTTCATTTGAATCCAGCTGTGTTTGATTATACTGATTGGACTTGATTAGGAAAGCCACACACCTGTCTATATAAGACCTTACAGCTCACAGTGCATGTCAGAGCAAATGAGAATTATGAGGTCAAAGGAACTGCCTGAAGAGCACAGAGACAGAATTGCGGCAAGGCACAGATCTGGCCAAGGTTACAAAAAAAATTCTGCTGCACTTAAGGTTCCCAAGAGCACAGTGGCCTCCATTCCTTAAATGGAAGACGTTTGGGACGACCAGAACCCTTCCTAGAGCTGGCCGTCCGGCCAAACTGAGCTATCGGGGGAGAAGAGCCTTGGTGAGAGAGGTAAAGAAGAACCCAAAGATCACTGTGGCTGAGCTCCAGAGATGCAGTCGGGAGATGGGAGAAAGTTGTAGAAAGTCAACCATCACTGCAGCCCTCCACCAGTCGGGGCTTTATGGCAGAGTGGCCCGACGGAACCCTCTCCT